AGAATGGAAGGATTAGCACAATTTGGAACAATGTAGAGCACTTAAAAAAGTAGGTCGGTACAACGGTCATCCCAATTGCAGTAACCTTAAGTTTGTGCAACGATTTTCCTGAAAGTATAGAATGTTGCGAGTTTCGTTCCTGCGCATTTTTCGAGAACTTAGGTGAATCGTTGCAGTTCGGAAATTTAATAGAGATTGCTTCGCCGGTTCTCGAGCGTTATACTCTTCCTCAAACCCTGCTCTGTCATATTTGACAGAATATAAAAACAGATGCCCTGCTAAGCAACAAATAAACAGGTTGGATTGAAATTGACTGTACCCTACTTTTGCTTCCCAGTCGAGTAGCGGCTTCGTTTCAGGATAGACCATATAGTAACGAAGAATGACCGTAGTGAATGATTCGATATTATTGGTATCGTTCGTAAGGCTAACGCCATAAATATTGCTGGCAATAAAAATTGGCTTTCCCAGAACGTCCATTGTTGGGTAGGTAACCTAAAAGCACATTCGAAAAGTATTAATTTCAATTTATTCACCTATTACAGCAGTATTTCATTGGAATTGCTTCAAAGGCAGTTGGCACGATGGTTTCCTACTTAGCCTAAAATGCTAGTAGGGCGCTGTATAGTGGGAAATGGCGAAAGAACGGAGTGAAACGGTCAAAATCCTGCGAAGAAAAAGCCTCCGTTCTCAGTGACTTGAAAATCGATTTCGGACGAGTTTCCCGTAGCATCTTGCCAATCACCGCTACCGAAGATACGGCTGCATATGTGTACCCATGTATGCATGCAGCATCACGGCCGCTTCATACCAATCCCTTTGCTTCATAATTTGCTTAGCAAATGAATGAATACGAGCGTCAGGAACGGTCGTCCATTTGTGGGCGGGCGGGCGAGGAAGGCGTTCGGGGAAGGAATGTTGCTTGCTCAACGGCGGCGTTATAGGGCGCACCCTCCTTGGAAAAGGGCGCCACAATGGCGCGCCCAGTCCGGGGTCACGAATTCTGTCAAACCAGTCATATAAATCCTACATCTGATGTCGATTTATACTGGCAACTGTCTTTTAAGGCGCAACACGACCCTCTGAATATGAATACATGGTCAGCTTGGTGCGAAATATCTAGCATAGATGCATAGTGGCTGGCTAGTACAGCCCATTTTCCCCTGGCCTGTTTTCCTAGGTATTATTCTTTTCCTCAGTTTGTTGGCGTTTTCGTCATCATCCATCTCCTTTTGTAGCCTCTATCATACATTTTTTTTGCTATAAAACGCTTTTTTTATTTCGAGTAATTTTGAGGCCGCACTCCCGCTGTGAAGTTATGGTCACGTCTCAAAAATTCAGCTGTATAGGGATAAAATTTTGCAATAGTTCGGGCATAAATCTGTGGACGCAACCGCAAAAAGAGAGAACGAGTTGCAAGTCATACGCTTCGCCCAACAATCAGACCACGAATAGGTCACTATCTAGCTCACATCAATTCTGGAGAAATTTTTGTTGTAGAGCTCCAACAAAGCGATGAAAGCATCGTTCTTCTGGCAATATGGTTCACACATGTCGTAGTACGTTAATTGGTGTCCGGTTGAGTTCTGAAATGATTCTGTTCGAGCTAAGAGATTAGTATTTCTGAAACTGTTCCCAACGGACTTATTTATTTTTATTACACATTTTATTTCATTTACTTTTGCTTTGTATCATCTTATTTTGTTATGAAGCAGTCATGGATTGTATAGGCACATATAAGACCTTGTTCACCACGGAACCAACCTTCACAGTGATCTCATTGTTTATTTCTTGGATCAGATCCCAAATTTGTTGCCTGTAGCTATCTCGCAATAAACTGCCATTATCCCGAGACTCGATCATTATCTGAACACACTTCACTTCCCACTGGAAATAAAAACGCTGTATTTTACATCCTTCTGCTATGATCAGGGATCAAGGGAAAGGGTAGAATGTCCGACGCTGATTATTCAATTCTCAAAGGGTACAATCGTCCAGGCCCACAAGAATGTCAATAGATTTGGAATGCACAGCGTGTTCGACTTCAGTCCAGATTTCTGGTGCTGTGTGCGACACGGCCCATACAATAACTAGTGCGGACAGCTGATGCATAAACCCAGCGTTCCCCTAACAAGGGATGGAGTGCGCTCGGTTCAGTTTAGTTTTCCATGTTTAAACTATTATGCATTGGCATGCTATGTGGCTTCACTCAGTGCCCATGTGATATACGTCTGACCACACTGACTCCATCGCTTGTTCGCACGGCGAGATTGGCGTGCTCGAAGCTTGGGATGGGAGGGTGTTCCTGCAACAGTTGGGTTACCGCAGCAGTGGAACACTGACCGCGAAGTCTCTCTCATCACCTGAGCTGGACCATTCCGGGAATCGATTCCACAGCGCCACTCAGTAGCTTACTACAAAGTGCCTAAGCATACAGCAAATAACACACTATTGATGTACCTTGGAGGGCTGTAGTGGCAAGTGCCCGCATACCACGTGCACAGTCCGGGAATCAATCCTGGATCAGCTATCGCCAAGCCAACCAAGCCTTTTACTCTCCGAAGACGGGCGAACTGGTACCAGATTCGTCTTTGGGACAACAAAATTGACTCGTAATCCGACTAAGCACTCCCTGTCATTTTAATAGGTATACCGTATTCAGTAGGCCCTTGCGATTCTGACTGGAAGTAGGAGGCGTCCGCATCTCGCAAAGGTCAAGCTCAATTTCAGTAGTTACGATTCGCGAAGAACTCGCTTGCCCTTCAGCAGATACTTAGAATAGTAACATCGGTGACAGAGGAACGGTGACGATAATAAATGAAATCTCTGCCAGAAATGTCAGGTCCCATTGTTTTTGCTAAAAAGGCGTATTCAAGGTACTCGAGCCTCGACATGACCTAGCGATTCCGAATCAGTGTAGGTGATTCTTGCGACCGTTCATCCTGAACAAGCTTTCCGCTTATTCCCTTGTTTTTCCGCTTTATAAGAAGACTGTTTCTCAATTCTCGAATGTGGCACGTGCCTGAATGCAGTTAACCTGTGCGAAAAATTCTTTGCCAAATGACACACTGCCGCGCATTCGCCTCGAGATCTGATTGATTTGTGGTGAACAAATGTGACAGACCACCCGTTTCAGATCAACTGTGAGAAAGGTATAGCTAATGCTTTGTGCGGTGGCAGTCGTTCCCAATAAGACAAAGTATCCCTGGGGTTGTAATTGAACGTCCTAGGCTCCAACTTCGCTGGTTTACTAATTTGCTCCGCCTGTCAGAAAAGAAGTTTCATCAAACAAACCTGATGGAATCTCAAATCCAATTGAGCAAAGTGCCGTAAACAGTAATAATCCGACAATAAATCTCCATGGATGATATCCTATCGCCAGTCCGAGTTTGTAGAAAACTCGCTGAAACACCATAAATTCTCTTCACAAATTGCATCACTATGTTAACCAATGACTCTGCAATAGCTGTGCTACGGTAAATTGTAACCCATGCTACAGTAAACTGTAAGACTACGGTAACTGAGCGCGCGGTCAGGGGGGTGTATGACAAGACGTTGTTCGCGCGCTGGTGCGACGTCGCGCCCGCAAATAACGATGTTCCAGGTAGTAGATGGCGACAACAGGCAATGCAGAACTGAAAATAGCCATGAATGTCTACGATGGAAAGGGTCCACATGAAGTCCAGGGCTCGATCGCAGTTACACACGAGGTAGAAAAAACGCCGCGCCCATCGCCGCGCGCCCGGCGGAGCGGCCAAATTACACGATTCCTTTTGCGCCGTCTCCCCGGTCGGCCCGGACATGACGGAGAGCCGCGGTTTGTAGTCCCTTCAAAGACACTTACCGCGATAAAGTGTTCGGGTAATTGGTGCCCAGTAACGAAGCAGTGGCCCATTTGTAACCCCCAGTGGAAAAAAACCTCGCGAACACCCGGAACACGGACCTCCCTTTAGCAGTGGGGGCGGGGCCTGGACGAGTGCGCCGGCTGTGGCTGCCGGGATCGGTGCGGCGGCCGCAATTGCGTCCGACTTTCGAAATAGGATAATTTTCGAATTCGAATAGGAAATAGGAAACTGCGGAAACAGCTACGCCCCTGAATCGACGGTTGTCGGAGAGGAGAGCTCCCGTTTAATCCATCACTTGCGTGTGTCGAGAAATTCCGGGCATCGATGTCTCGATAAAACGTGTTCCACTGATAATTACAGGGTTTTTTCTGTCAGAGTGGAGCTGGGGAGAACAGAGGAGCTCTTCTCAGTATTCATGCTGTTCTGTTATATTTTCTCCTGCTACGCGCGATGCGGATGCTCTAAGCAACAAGCGGGAGAAACAGACTTTCGTACGTGATACTCATCTCCCCGTGCTTTTTCTTCAATCCTCCTTCACTGCCTTCTTTAGTTTCTTGCCTCTCTCTTATCCTATGTATGCTTTTCTAAGAATTTGCGCTTCCAGCCAGCTATAAACAGCTATAAACCAACTTTGGCTAAGTGCCAGAAGGGCCGCGCACGAGACGCGCCGCGCGGGCGTTAAAGGGACGGAAGCAGCTCGGGACCGGACGCCTCGTCCACCTACCGTCTCAGCGAGCCTAGCGAGCCTTGTGGAAATCGCTATAACTTCCTCATCGCGCCATATTGAGGGATGAAGTGCTATCATCTTCGTCAAGGCGTAGAGCGTTCCAAACCAGCCACGAATTCATTTTGGGACTCATCTTCATCCGCGGTAAGTTCTTTAAATGGAGTGGGCCACGATAATTTTTAAGGCTTCGTTGGTCTGGAAGAGAACTGTAACGGATCCCAGGCGATTTGTGGCACATGTTGCAACGAAGCGCGTATTCTGAGCATTGAGCAACGCCTGACTCTAGAAAAGGTTCTCCAGTATGATGATTCTGTTTAACGCCGCAGCTCGCACTTCGGAAGTTTCCGCGATAAATATAGGCAAAGGTCGGACCGGGGACGGAACTCGACCCGTATCTCCCACTTACCAGGCGTTGCGATATCCATTACGCTACCGCGGCTCAGTGGCATTTTTTGTAAATAGCCTTACAGCACTCACAATCTGTAAGGAGATTGCGGGACCGTGCGGGTTTGAGTACCGTCCCGAGTCCAACATTTACCCATATCTCAGCATTCTGTGATTCTACAGGGCCGACCATTCGAGAACTGTACGCCCATAAATGGCCGTTCAAGTAAACAACTGATGCGGTTTTGTTGCACCACCGCGATTTTTCCGCTTTGATCGCTGACCAGCCTCGATCTCTATTAGGTGTATACACGCCACTTTTCTGGGTCAGAAGGTTAGTAGGGACGCTTCCGTCCGCTACGCTTCCTTTTTGCTTCAATTCGGCACTACTGAGTGCCACTTCTGCTTCCTACCAAGAACCAAATTATGGTGCTTACGAGCCTTCAAATATTCCGATTACTAATGGAGCAAAGACGCGACCGAAGTTCGAGACCATGTGTGACTCAGAGCACAATTTCAACTCTCAGTATTTCTCCATCCGCTAATCCCCTTGAAGGACGGCATTAATCCACGGGAATGATAGAAGCGAAATGATACGCTGCAAAGTGGTAGTAGTTTCACTCTGAGTAACCAAGTAGTACGAAGCAGTGGAATAAGTTGCAGAAAGGATGTTTTCTATCAAGTGGTCCCATCAGCTGGAAAAATCACAGTCGCCGGTAACTTCAAGCTCTTTATCGGACGTACAGTCGAGAGGCGGTCCCGGAGGTGGGCTCATTGTGCCACACCTCCCCCTCCCCTTCCTCGCGACCGCACCTGGAGTGAATTCGACGTTATCATCATGAAGCTTTATTTGCAGCGAACGAAGGGGCGTGACAGAGAATGGGTCTAGCGCGGCACCTGCCCGTTTCTTTTCTTCTTTTTTTCTCTCTACAGCAAGCTGCAAAAACTAGGATAGTCATATCGTTCTACTGTTCCACCAGTTTCTGTGCTTTGCCGCTGCACAACTGGTCAGGTGGTGCGCTATATCCACCATGACACGCCCCTCTATCCGCAGCAGCGAGACTGCACAACGCGATTTCGGGACTTTCCTTGGACATGGAATACTCTTGTAGCAACGACAAATTTTCCCCCTTGTGAGGTCGTATACATGGAAGTAAAGAAGAGAAATGAGAAATAGCGCCCTCGAATTCTGCGGAAACACTTGAAATCAAGAAAGCTGCGACGCTTCTGAAAAGAAAGTCCTTTGCAGTGAGTTCAGGGCACATCATTATTTGGGGGTTTAGGCGATCCCGTACGACCCCACCCCCTTAGGGCGCCTTGATAGGCCCTCTTCATCCTATCTACCACTTTCTTAGATCACGACCCCCCCTCCTCTGTCTCAACAACGAGCAAGTAGAATCCCTCCCCTTAAGCGGTCCGTGAACGAAAAATACAAGCATCATTGATGTCAATTTAGTAGTTCACTTGAGCCGACCAAGATTGTTAACATTTATTAGGCCAACGTTTCGGCTTGTTCGCCTTCGTCAGAGCCTGAAAGAGTCAAAAACAGATGTGACTTGTTCTCTCAAACGCCTAACTAAAACTGAAGACCATTTCGAGAAGCCGGTAAACCACCATCAATGAAGTATAGGCCATATACGACCCTTCAGCGACGGAAGACGACCCTCAACTGTTGGGAAATCTCAACACTTATGTGTCCTGAGCCATTGAGTTTGTCTTTCCTACATAGGCGACACTAGTGCCTGTATCTGCATGTCACATTATTTTTTTATGAGGCATGGGCGCCGACAGCGTGGACTGATAGTCGGATTTTACTATAAGAAAAAATAAAAAAAACAAAATATAAATAAGAAAAAAAAAAAAAAAAAATATAATATAAAAAAAAAAAATAAAAAAAAAAAAAAAAA